GTATATATGTAACCATTCCATAAATGCATGTACTTTGATCATATTCAACCCCTTTATTTCTCTTTCTTATGCCTCTTTCCCCTTCAATCTTAATGACTTCCATTACTCTATTTTCACATATGCATGTTCTTGGATCATATTCACCCCTTTTATTACCTTCCCCTTTCACTCTCCTCACTCTTGATGGTTTACACCCTAAAGTCATTTTACACTCACATCATTTGTTTTTTAGGTCTACATATCCTTTTGAATCTGCTTGATTTGATTTAACATGGTATTTCCAGTTCTATCCATTTTCCTGCAAGCAACATAATTTCATTCTTCTTTATGGCTACATACCACTCCATTCTGAATGTGTATATGTGTGTGTGTTGTTTGTGTATCACATTTTATTTTGCCATTTATCACTTGAGGGTGATTTAGGCTGATTCTACCAATTACCTACTGTAATGTTGTTAAGATAAACATAGGTGAATGAGTATCTCTATTGTATCTTTACATTTCTTTGGATATATGCCCAGGAGTGCTACAGTAGGAGCCTCCTTACTGATTTCCAGTGGCTGCACTTTGCGTTTTTGATGGCAAGTTTGGTAGATTTTTAAAGAGTTAAATTTATACATCACCCAGCAAATCCATTCATATATCTGTACAAAACAAAAACTTATGACCAATGACTTGCATACAAATGTTTACAGCAGCCTAATCTATAATAGCCAAAAAGTAAATGCTCCTAAAATGTCCATCACCTGCTGAACAAAATACGAACAACAGAATAGTAGTCAACAACAAAAAGGAACAAAGTACTGATATGTCATAAAATCACTACACTACTAAAAAGAAGCCAGACACAGGGAGCACCTATTCTGTGTCCACTTATACAAAATGTCTAGAAAAGCTCACAGCTTTTTCTATAATCCTAGCTACCCAGGAGGCTGAGATGTAGAAGACAACTTTGAAGCCAGCCCAGGCAGAAAATTCCAAAAGACTCATTTCCAATTAACCAGACAAAAAGTGGGCTGAAGGTATGTATGGCTCAAGTGGCAGAGCATCAACCATGAACAATTAAGCCAAGAGAGCACAAGGACCGTAAATTCAAATCCCTTTACCAAAAAAAGAAAAAAGTAATCATGTGTCCAATAAAAATTTCAACATGAAATTTTCACAGCAGGCTTACATATACGCAAAGACGGCAAGACCAAACAATGGAATATTAACCCTAAAAAGAAATGAAGTACTGATATTTGCTACAGATAGATGAACCTTGAAGCACTATTAAATGAAAACAATCCCAAATAAAAGATTACATATTATATATTACACAAATATGAAATATGCATAAAAGAAAACTTCATAGAAATGGGGAGGGAAGGTGTTAACAGAAGCCAGGTGGGGTGGTACATGCCTATAATCTCAGCAGTTGTGAAACCCAAGTAGAAGAATCAAGAGTTCAAGGCCAGGGCTACATAATGAGACCAGTTATACCTACAGAATTAGCTACTCAGAAGGCTGAAATCAGGATCCTGGTTCAGAGCCAAGCCCATGCAGACCAATCCAAGACTCTCATCTCCAATTAACCAGCAAAAAGCCAGAAATGGAGGCATAATTCAAATGGTAAGAGTGCTAACCATGAACAAAAAATGCCAAGGAAAAGTACAATACCTGAATTCAAGGCCCAATACCATACCCCCCCAAAAAAAAACAAAAAATAAAAACTAACTTCCATATGAACTCTATCTTCTTTTAACTAGAGAAAAGAATCAGAAATGTAAAATCAAGGAAGATTATAGATTCTCTTTGTCATGATTTAGATTTGCTTTGTCTTCCAAAAGTTTATAAGCTAGAAGAATGGCCTTGATGTGGTAGTACTGGAGCAAAGTAACCTTTAAAAGATGAGGGCCCAATGAGAAATAACCAATTTATGGGAGCGCTGCTCTCAGTAGGAATTAATGTAGCTCTTTCAGGACCCCAGTTAGTTCCACACATCATTATAAAAAGATCTTGGCTCAAGAAATCTTATTTGCTTTTTAACATGTGATCTCTCAACTCTGCACACATTCCTGCCACGATGTCACCTATCACATTATGGTGCAGCCTGAAGATCCTCACCACACAAATACTGGAATAATGCTTGTGAACCTCCAGAACTATAAGCTAAGTAAACTACTTTTATTTATAATACCCACCTTGTGTATTGTTAAGCTAACGAAAAAAATTGAATAATATAGTTCTTAACAAGGAAATAATCTCTCTGTGCCCAGCAGTTTATGAAGAGCCCAACAGAATGATCCATATCATGGTCCAAAGCAAAGCCATGTAATAGCAACAACAGTAACAACAACACAACGTTCCAGATTTAGTAAAAAGGAAATAAAAAAAAAAAGGAATTGTTATCTGAATCTTTATTTTACCTTCTCCACATGTAGTGTTTTTACTAAAACACAGAAACTCAAAGAACCTTTCATTTGAATGTTTTCTTATATTAAGAAATTATTCAGCCGAGTATTGGTGACTCACACACCTGTAATTCTAGCTACTCAGGAGGCTGAGATCTGAGGATCCAGTTCAAAGCTAGCCCAGGCAGGAAAGTCCATGAGACTCTTACCGCCAATAAAACCACTCAGAAAATCAGAAGTGGCACTGTGGTTCAAGTGGTAGAACATTCGCCTTGAGCTGAAGAGCTGAGGGACAGCGCCCAGGCCCAGAGTTCAAGCCCCACAAGGAAGGAAGGAAGGAATTATTCAGGATCCACAAACAAGTACAGAATGTGCATATCCTAGGCTAAAATAAAGTTTAAAAAAATTCTATTTGGCTGAAATCTAGCCTGGATTTAGGCTCCACCACTACCATCTTGGAACTACAATTGAGATTCCTTTTCGTCTGTCTGTGGCCTAGATCATCAAGCCAACTTTCTATTGGTCAGGCTGGCCTCCCTGTAGCCGGCTTTTATAAATAAAAAATTTGTATAATTATTACTGGAACTACTTGCAGAATTATGGAGCTAGTTAAAGATACCATTTACTTTAAAATGTACAGTTTCACATACATGCACCAATCTATCTTCCAGCCATACCAATACTTCGTCTTTCTTTTCTGATGCCTTAATAAACTGTTAAGAAATCAAGCAGAGGCTCACATCTGTAATCCTGAGAACTGAGTCTATAAGGCTCTTATCTCTTTTTTTAATAAGCATTTCTTTTATTAAATATTATTTGATTTTAAAATTAATTTCCTTCTCAGGGCTCATGGTGATTTTTTTTTAGTTTTTGCTGATTCATCTACATTAAGATTCTATATTAATTATAATTGTTAAGATGTGTAAGAACAATAATTATTCAGGATCTCTTGTTTGTGGTTTTTTTTTTAATGACTTGGCATACCCAAGGTTAGGATCATTTGTAAAAGTCAAAATACAAATTCTACCTGATGCCAATATGAGGCTCTTATCTCTTGATCAGCAAAAAAAAAAAAAAGGAATGGATTTTCTTCCTACTCAAATGGTAGACAACCACTCATGAGGAACAGCCAAGGGAAAATGCAAAGGCCCTGAAAACTGGCATACCCAGGCATGCACGCATGCACACACACACACATCAGAGAGAATATAAAAAGAAAAAAAAAGAATTAAAATAAAGTACTAGGATAAAAAGTTCATTCTGGAGAAGTAGAATTAGAAGAAAGTAGGAAAAACAAATTCTTTTTTTAATGTAGTCTTTCTTATGAGTGATACATAGGAGTGCCTCTTTCCACTTGAATCTGGTATAGTACATTACACGGAAACATCATTTGATTTAAGTTAAAATGGATAAAGTCACAATAAACATGTTTTCTATCTAAGCTTATATAATGAATGATCCCAACACACGATATGAATGCTCTCCTTTGTAACAACCCTTCCTCCTTCCTTGAGGGTATAATGAGAAAATGTTCTGAGCTGTCTACCACTAAACGTAAGCGACATTCACAAATAGCTGAAATTGGGTGGCCCAAGCATGCTGTGCTTATTTGATAAGTGGTTAGTCAAACACATTATAGTTTAGTTGCATTAAATGGGACACAGGTTAGACGGAAATCAGGAGGACCCAGGAGTTTTCAAACTATTCGGACTAGAACAAAAGTCCAGGAATATACAAGTCCTTGCTGGAAAATTCCTTGGCCTCTTTCCTTAAGATTCTAATCCCAAACCTGTCAAGTTTCATGAACACACACACACACACCCTCCACCATGTCTTGCCCGCACCCCGGAACACTAGAACACACTAAATCATAAAAGATTAACAGCTCTAACTGTACCCTCCTAAAGAAACACCACAAACCTCCCCCCCACCACCACCAAAAAAAAAAAAAAAACTCTCAGGGCTTTTCATATGATTTGGCCCAGCATTCAAACAAAGCTCAGGGGAGACGATCGCCAATCCTAACTCTCTCTCGGTCCAGCACTACAGGCAGGGAGGGACAGAGTCTGCACCCTGCCTGCTCTTCGAAGCGGGCCTACCCCCTAACTAGAACTCCGGCGGAGACAATCAGGCTAGCTGATGGATAAAAAGTGGTCACAACTCTCACGGATCCATCCAACGCAAAACAACAAGAAATTCACCTCGGCGCCACTCAATACCCAGCCTCCAAGGATCAAGGAACCAAACCAACCCAAAACGCCAACTCCCAGCCCCTCCCGCTCTGGGGATTCCCTTCCACGTGACCCCTTCGCCGGCTCCACCCCCTGAGCTCGCCACGCCCCCGAAAGGGTCACGCCCACCGACGGGTCCGCCCACTTCTGAGCCCCGCCCATCGCGCTGGCGCTACCGGACGCCGCTTCCCACCGCCCCACTTTAAGGTGCGCCCGGCGGAAGGCAGGCTCCCCCACCTCGGGGCGCGGGGCACGGCGGGCGTCCTTGCGAGTCTCCCCTCCCTCTCTGTGCAGCACCGCGACCCTCAGTTGACGCGTCCGCTAGGCCCCTTGGGGGATGCCAGCCTTCTTCGCTTCTTTCTGCGGCCAGTCTTACCGGGTGGTCCTCACCAGCGTTGCCTTCGGCACTTGGCCCGTGACAGGAAGGACGCCACGGCCCGGGCTCTTGTGGCTTGAGAACTTGGCTTGCCTTCGTATTTGGCTTTTTGTTTGTGTCGACTCTTGGAATTTTCCTGCGGTCTCTCGACAGCCGAGCTGGGCGCGCGCACACGCCCACATGTACGCGCAGTGCACTCTGGGGCCTGGCGTGCGGCCTAGCGTGCCCTCACCCCCACCCGCAGATCCGCGGCTTCGCGGGAAAGTCCGGACGAATCTCGGGTCGGTGGGGGCGGGCTCGGGCGGAAGTGGGCCGGCCGGAGGCGCGCCCGGGGCGGGGACGAGCCCTGAGGCCGGCTCCGTGGCTCGGTGACAGACGCTGGGCCTCGTGGGGCTGCAGCGGAGGCCCGGGTTCGAAAACAGAAAAGGCGATCGTGGGATTTCTGTGTTGGCGTATGTGGTCGTGGTTCTCCTGTCACTGCCAGATAACCTGAGCATTCACTGTGCCGCGGAGGCGAAAAGGAAAAAGGTTTGTCAAGGAGCAAAACCTCCAAAAGCAGGGCCAGAAATCTGGCTTGTTTAGCTGTAGTCTCGACCACACGATTGGGGCTTTTTTGCTGTTGTTTTTTAGGGTCACTAATTCGTGTAAGCCACGTAATGGAAGCACATTTTTTACAAACTTCCTTTCGGGTCAGTGACACTGTCTTGGATTTTTTTTTTTTCTTCTTCTTAGTGAAGATTAATAAGAGTAAAACCGACCGATTCTTTCATAGATGTTTAAGTTGTTTTTTAAGTGATGGGAGAGGTGACTGAGCAAGATGCGTTGTACACAAAGGTTGAAAACGTTAAACTGAAATCCCTTTAATGATCAGAAGAAAACAATTTTTTAAATATACACAATCTAACCTTAAGCCTTTAGATTCTTCTTACATGAATTCCTTATAACCGTGCAGTTTCGTGTGTGCTTTTTTAAACAAACTTAAAAACAGTGCATTATATAATAAAAATAGCCCTTAATTGTTTAAACACTTCCAACCATTCTTAGGATGAAGAAATACTTATTTTACAAAACATTAAGTCCAATTCAGAAATGAAATACCCTGCCAGGGTTATAAAATAAGTAAGTGATTAAAAGGAGTATGCCCAGTAGTGGTAGCAACATTTTTTTTTTTAAGATAAAAGATGAACCCAAGCCAGAATTGAAGACAAAGTTGACAAAATCCGCTTTCTAAAACCAGATGTTTAAACCCATTCTTTACACTGCCCCCTGGTTGATGCAAGACTTATGTGTGTGTGCACATACATATAATGGAGATATAGATAGATCTCCATCCATATTTGAGTGTTGCTTTTTGTTTTTTTGTCTGGGTACTGGGGCCTGAACTCAGGCCCTGAGCACTGTCCCTTAACATTTTTACTCAAGGCTGGTGCTCTCTCACTTGAGCCACAGCTCCACTTCTGGCTTTTGGGTAGTTAATTGGAGATAAGAGTCTCACAAAATTTCCTGCCCAAGCTGGCATAAAACTGCAATCAGATCTCCGCCTTCTCAGTAGCTAGGATTGCAGGTATAAGCCACCAGCACCTACCTGTTTTGAGTGTTTCTTATTATGATATTTAAGCTATTAGAAAGTCACACTGTGACTAAGTGAGCTCACTAATATTTTTAGACTGCATTTGCCAGCAAAGCAATGACTATGTTTATTTTGGCAGTACTTGGTTTTGAACTCAGGGCCTTCATCTTAGTAGACAGATACTGCCATGCCTCTGCCCTTTTTTCTTTAGTTTTGAAATAGGGTCTCCAAGTACTTTTGTTTGGCCTTCCATATACCTGGGATGACAGATGAACACCAGTTTACCTTTTTATTGGCTGAGATGGGGGTCCTATAAACTTCTTTTTGCCCAGGCTGACTTCAAACTATGATCTTCCCAATACCTGCCTCCTACATAGATAGGATTATAGGTGTGAGCCATCTTGTGTGTATATGTGTCTGTTTAAGAGACTTCGTTTCAATACTCAGGTCTTTATGTATTTGCTGAAAAACATCTGTAATGTTTGTGTTTTATTGAGGTGTTGCAATTTTGCAGTTTTATCACTTTAATTCAGGTTAATACTTCTTAGTCTTGTATAGTTTAATACTGCTTTGGATGCTTAGGATTAATTTGGATTTGGGTGGGAGGTACATATGGTATAAAGAGTAAATTTTCAACTTATTTATAGACATTTCACTTTATCTGACATACATATGTATGGGGTATACTTTCTAATATTTTAAGCAGTAATGAGATGACCCATTTGTAAAATTACAAAGTTTCCTAAGAAACAAATACTTAAATAAAAATCCTGTTTTTGTACTGAGCTAAACTTTTGTGTAACACTGGAAACAAGTTAGGTTCTGTTATAGAGCCCAATCACAAATAGTGTTGAACAAATTAAAAATATTTTATTTAGATGAAAGTTATTACATCCCTGAGCTTTTTTGCTCAAGGCTAGTGCTCTACCACTTTGAGCCCTAGCTCCTCTTCCAGTTTTCTGGGGTTAAGTGGATATAAGAGTCTCACAGACTTTCCTGCCCCGTCATACTTCAAACCTTGACCCTCAGATCTCAGCCTCCTGAGTAGCTAAATTACAGGTGTGAGCCACCAGCACCCAGCTCTAGCAAACCTTCCTTTAAAGTTCAAAAAACAAATAGAATCACCTGCCTTGGATTCACATCATTACAGTAGAAATCCTTCCACAGAGTCCAAATACCAGGCTTCCAGCTGTCACTTGATACTCCAGGGCTGAACACTGTCTTATCTACAGCTTCAATTTTACAACTGTGAATGTTTTATATGTATTATACCAAGGTCACATACTGGACGGATTCCATGGCTTACATTATTTCCTTTATTTCTCACAGTGATCTTATGTTGTAGGTAGTATTTCAGTATCACAGAGATACTAGTAGATGTTGGAGCCTGACTTCAAATCCAGATAGATTGACTCGGATATCTGTACTTTTTAACCACTTACTATGTGTTGGCTTATCTCCCAAATTAGGAGAAAACAAGGGATCCCATAGACTTATATTGTCTAATTATCAATTAAAACATCTACCTGAGAAAATGTATAACAATTCAGAGAAAACAATGAAAATAATTTTTGTACGGGAGACACTTAAAGAAATGGAGCAATAATGACAGTCTTTGATTAGCTATCCTGCATAGAAAAGAACTCATGAGCTCAAGGAAGGTCAAGGCTACAAAAAGTAATCAACTACCAAATGGGAAACAACTAATACCCTACAGTGTTATGTGTTACATAGGTTAAGCATGTTGCATATATTTTGACTTTGGATATTTTCATCCTACACTATCAGGAAATAATCTCATAAATAGAGGAGCATCTGTACTAGTCCCCGGATCCGTTCTACAACTACTTAAACCAAGAATGGTAACCTGACCCTCATTGAACTAATGGATTCCTAGGGAATCTGGATTTCAGCACTGAGACTGAGTCACCTCTATAACTCAGGAACCAAAGCCCCTTTGCTGGCCAAAGTTTGGGGGAAAAAATGTAAGTAACAGAGAAAATTATTAGGAAAAAAAGCCAAACAGCCGGACGCTGGTGGGTCACACCTGTAATCCTAGCTACTAAGGAGGCTGAGATCTGAGAATCACTGTTCAAAGCCAGCCCCGGCAGGAAAGTCCATGAGATTCTTATCTCCAAAAAAGCCACTAGAAAACCAGTTGTGGCATTGTGGCTCAAGCAGTAGAGTGCTCACCTTAAACTGAAGAGCACGAGGACAGCGCCCACGCCCAGAGTTCAAGCCCCACAATTGACCAAAAAAAAAAAAAAGCAAGAGGCTGGGAAAGTGGCTCAGTGGTAGAGCGGTTCGATTCCTCAGCACCACCTAAGCAAAAAGAAAAAAACCGGAAGTGGCGCTGTGGTTCAAGTGATAGAGCACTAGCCTTGAGCTGAAGAGCTTAGGGACAGCACCCAGGCCCAGAGTTCAGGCCCCAGGACTGGACACACACACACACACACACACACACACACACACAAAGGCAAAACAAATTGAAAAGATATGTTATTCTATATAACAGGGTAGCTTCCATTCCCAATTTTCTTATTTTAAGTATAGTTTTAAGGCAAACTGACTTTTTCTATTCTTAGTTGTCCCCAAGATTCCTATATCCTTGAATCAGTCACCTCTTTTCTGTGCTGACTTCAGTAATAAAGGACCTGGAAATGATAGCTGTTTGTTGTCTCTGAACTTCAGAACTCTGGCTGAGCCTACCAGATTAGTGAATGGATGGAAGTCTAGTAAAAATCTACTGAAGGAAATAAAAACATTTTTTCTTTATCCATACTAGTTCATGACTGAGGCCCCTAAACCAGAGATTAGCAATAGAAAATACAGATTTATTTAATGTTACTTTTCAATATATAGGAAATTTCCTAAGAAATCAAGATCCAAATAGTTAAACTATGTATTTTTATGCTAGGTTTAGTGAAGAGTAGATAATCACAGAAAGATACAAATGAGCAAAGAATATGATCTAACACTCAACTTTTCTCTGTTTCATTCCTGACATGAAGTGAATAGGCTGTCACTACAGGACTAAAAGCAATGAGACCAACAGACCATGGACCAAAACCCCTAAAACTAAACCAAATAAACTTGTCTTGCTTAGTTCATTATGTAGGTATGTTTTAGTCACAGAAGGCTAACAAACTTTGGTTGATTCCATAACTCAGTTGACTGGGGCTTTGGCAATCTTGGACCCTTAGGTAATGGCAAGAATTATAGCAATGGAATGAGGATAGTAGAGCAAAGATGTGAGAAAGACTGTCAATCTGCAAAATCATGGAGCCACCTGCTTTGGCTAACTCTGAATTTCCTTTATAATAAAGGAAAATCAGTTTCTGTTTTATTTCAAAGAGACCTGCCAACAGAGCCTGGCGGTAGACGAGGAGTCGCTACCTACCTTCAACCGTATTGTAGTCCCACGTTGGTCGGATCTCAGGAAAATAGGCAGTGATCAGGGCAGGATCCGTGATGGGCGCTCCTGTGGGGCCAGGGATATGTTTCCAGGCTGCCTCTTGGATATGGAGAACTACAGATCAATCTCCTTGATGAACACAGATGCATAGATCCTTAACAAAATTCTAGCTAACAAT